TATTATTATTATTATTATTATTATGTTCGGGAGACCTTAAAACAAGGTATTATCTGTCCCTTCACCTCACCTTTCGCTTCTGGATTCTTTTTTGTAGCCAAGAAGGATGGTGGCCTGCGGCCCTGCATAGATTACCGTGGGCTAAACACTATCACAGTGAAGAGAAGGGAACCCCTTCCACTCATCCCCTCGGCCCTGGAGCAGCTTAGAGCCGCACGGATCTTCACGAAATTAGATTTAAGAAGTGCCTACAACTTGATTCAGATAAGAGAGGGAGACGAGTGGAAAACCACGTTCATCACCACAACTGGTCAATACGAGTAGTTAGTGATGCCATACGGGCTCGCTAGCAGTCCGTCTGTGTTCCAGTCCTTCAACAATGAGGTATTACGTGACATGCTACATCTACGCCTATATTGACGATATCCTCATTTATTCCGAAACAGAGGAGCAGCATGTCGGACATGTATGACAGGTACTCCAGCATTTATGGGAAAATCAGCTGTACATGAAGGGTGAGAAATGTGAATTCCACTGCTCCACGCTTAGGTTCCTTGGGTACGTCATCCCTCCCGGAGGAGTCACCATGGATCCAGACAATGTCAAGGTGGTATGAGATTGGCCCCAACCCCAGACCCTTAAGGCTCTCCCTTGTTTTTTAGGTTTTGCTAACTTTTATAGATGGTTCATTCAAGGGTTTAGCACAGTGACAGCCCCCCTGACGGATCTTGTCAAGAGAGGGGCCAAAAAGCTCCGATGGACCCCTGAGGCACACCAGGCATTTGAAGACCTAAAACAGCGCTTCTGCTCTGCCCCCATCCTGAAACAGCCGGATCCACAACTACCTTTCCAGGTAGAGATAGAAGCCTCTGAGATAGGAAATCGGGAATTGCTGGCATTAAAAAGTGACATTGGAGGAGTGGAGGCACTGATTAGAGGGTGCTATGCATCCATTCCAGGTGTTGATGGATCATCGCAACTTACAATATCTGCGAGAGGCCAAGCGCCTTAATGCCCGACAGGCCCGCTGGGCATTGTTCTTCACCAGGTTCCTTTTCCAGGTCACCTATCTCCCCGGCTCCAAGAACACCAAAGCAGATGCTCAGGCCTACCCTCCAGGCTTTTATAGCCACTGCCAGTACCTACACATCCCTAGTCCCACAGTCTTAGACTTTATCACGGACTTGCCCCCCTCTCGAGGTCACACCACCATATTGACCCTAGTAGATTGGTTTTCTAAAATGTGTCGCCTTATTCCCCTGCCCAAACTCCCATCCTCCTTCGAATTGACCGATCTGCTGCTACAAGGAGCGTATAGGTACTACGGATTACCCGAAGAGATAGTCTTGGACCGGGGCCCTCAGTTTACCTCTCGGGGTCTTCAAGGCCATGTGTACCAGGCTAAACATCTCTCCTCAGCCTATCATCCCCAAACTAATGGCCAGACGGAGAGGACGAACCAGGAGGTAGGGCAGGTGCTCCAAATCATGTGTGGTTCCCAACCCCAGGAGTGGTCCCGCTTTCTCCCCTGGGCGGAGTATGCCCACAACTCCTTACCCCATCCAGTTACCGGTTTGACCCCCTTTCAGTGTGTGCTCGGATTTCAACCCCCGTTGTTTCCCTGGAGTCCCTCTCCCACAGATGTCCCCACCCTGGAGGACTGGTACCGGCATAGCCGACAGGTATGGGATCGCTCCCGGCACCTATTGGAGCAACAGGCAGCACAAATGAAAACGGTCAGGGATCGCCGACGAAGGCCGGGACCCCACTTCAGAGTTGGAGAGAGAGTTTGGCTGGCGACAAGGAACTTTCACCTCCCGGCATGACGCAAACTGGGCCCCAAGTTCATCGGCCCCTTCCGGGTAGCAGCTCAAGTGGGTCCGGTCACCTACCGTTTACAGCTCCCTCGGGTTTACCGGATTATCCCCACCTTTCACGTATCCCTGCTGAAACCGGTTCCTTACAGTTTGACCCATCCCCCCACTGGGTCCTTTGAACCACCGGCACCACTTCCCCTCGGGGATGAAAAATATGCTGTTCGTGATCTGCTAGATTCTCCACGCTGACAGGGCCGACTGCAGTACCTGGTCGACTGGGAGGGTTTCGGACTCAGCTGAGTTCCTGCTAAGGACATCCTACATCCCTCCCTGTCACGCCCACCTCAAGGAGGCAACACGCGTAGCAGGGATCAATCCGCGTCAATTAAGCCCATTACTTAAGCCGCACTTAGGCAATAGCCGAGTGCGAGGTATTGTTGCCATGCACGTACTGAGCGCTTCATCTTTGTGTTTCTCCCACAGTTACGTTCGGTCCTTCTTGCCCTTCCTGAGTCTACTACCACGCCTCCTGCCTGCCCTCCTGCCCTTCCCGTAGGCCCTCGTGTGATTCCCCCACTGTTTGTCCATGTCCTCAGACTGACTCCCTGGCTTTTCGACCTCCGGCTTCTCGTCTCTCGACCACGATCTCGGCTCACGACTCGATCCTCAGTGCACAGCTTGGACGGCTACTGAACACGACCCCGGAACGGCTCACGACTCTCCCTTTTGTCTACTCCAATAAACTTGGCTGCCCGGAACTCTGTTTTCGTATCTTGTGTAGCAGAACAGTCACAGGCGGTCTGGAGTCTATTTGTTGACTAAAATGTGTATGAACCCTGTATTTTGATATAATTTTGATATATAAATTATATAACATTGCATAGGAAATGTCTTGGTTGTGCTTGGATTGTTTACAGTTGGTAGACCCCACCACACACAGCAGCTTAGGTGTGGGGCAGCCGCAGGCAGACCCCGCCACGCAGAGCAGCTCAAGCAATCAGATTTCAGAGAAGATAAAGTCCGCTATTTGTAGCGGGGAAGTCAATGTTGAGCAGTTCTCTGATCATTTGTCTTATTTTCATGCAGAGGAATCTTGTGAGCAGTGTGGAAAAATTATTAAAGGTGTAGCTGGGTTGCTGCAGCATATTGAGGAAGCACATGATCCACCAAAACAATCACCACCACCACAACAACCACCACCTGCTGCAGCTCTTCCACCATCATAACAACCACCACCTGCTGCAACAACCTCATCCTTCAGCTCGTCCACCACCACTACCACCACCTCCTATGTCTCTACCACCACCACTCCGACGACCACCTTCTACTGCAACTCTTCCACCACCACTACAACCTCATCCTTAAGCTTGTCCACCACCACTACCACGACAACCACCTCCTCCTACGTCTCTACTACTACCAGTCCAACAACCACCACCTACTGCAGCTCTTCCACCACCACTACAACCTACAGCTAAGGCAACAGTTTTCCAAAAACTGGTTCTATCCACCTGGTCCACCAAAGCTAACAACTGCGCCACCTGATCCCTTGAACTATTTCAGGCAGCGAATGTTTCTCTGGGCACCAATGCGGGTGTGGGGTATTTCTCTGAAGTGCCTTCAGTGCAACACCAAGATGCACCACTCTGGCATCTACACAAAGGCAAGGGAAGTCATAGATTTTGACTCACTTTATTATTTAGTTGGTGGGGACTATCCTCGGTGCAGCAGAAGCAGGATCCCTGTCTGTCCATGGAGTACTGAGGAGTTGAATCAGTTGGATCCTGCCCACCGAAACAGGTTCCCCGCTATTCTTACCACTCAGCTTGCTCTGGACAGGAAGGGATGGCGAAAACTAAAAAATTTCTTGACCGACCACCGAGCCTCAGTAGCCGGTTGAAACCGGTTAACCGA